GATCAGAATGCTTGCGCGTGGCTTGACCTTTGCGAGAGGGTGTTCGACTGAGGCTTGCCTCTTGGAGTGGATCAGAATACTTGTGCGTGGCTTGACCTGTGTGACAGGGTGTTCGACTGTGGCTTGCCTCTTGCAGTGGATCAGAATGCTTGTGCGTGGCTTGACCTTTGTGAGAGCGTGTTCGACTGAGGCTTGCCTCTGGGAGTGGATCAGAATACTCGCGCGCGGCTTGACGTTTGTGAAAGGCTGTTCGACTGAGGCTTGCCTCTGGGAGTGGATGAAAATACTTGCGCGTGGCTCGACCTTTGTGAGAGGGTGTTCGACTGAGGCTTGCCTCTTGGAGTGGATCAGAATACTTGTGTGTGGCTTGACCTTTGCGAGAGGGTGTTCGGCTAAAGCTTGCCTCTTGGAGTGGATCAGAATACTAATGCGTGGCCTGACCTTTGTGAGAGGGTGTTCGACTGAGGCTTGCCTCTTGCAGTGGATCAGAATACTTGTGCGTGGCTTGACCTTTGTGACAGGGTGTTCGATTTTCGAATACTTGTGCGTGGGTTGACCTTTGTGAGAGCGTGTTCGACTGAGGCTTGCCTCTTGGAGTGGATGAGAATACTTGTGCGTGGCTTGACCTTTGCGAGAGGGTGTTCGACTGAGGCTTGCCTCTTGGAGTGGATCAGAATACTTGTGCGTGGCTTGACCTTTGTGAAAAGGTGTTCGAATGAGGCTTGCCTCTTGGAGTGGATCAGAATACTTGTGCGTGGCTTGACCTTTGTGACATGGTGTTCGACTGAGGCTTGCCTCTTGGGGTGGATCAGAACACTCGCGCGTGGCTTGACTTTTGTGATTGTGCGTTCGACTGAGGCTTGCCTCTTGGAGTGGATCAGAATACTCGCGCGTGGCTTGACCTTTGTGAAAGGGTGTTGGACTGAAGCTTGCCTCTTGGAGGGGATCAGAATACTTGTGCGTGGCTTGACCTTTGTGACAGGGTGTTCGACTGAGGCTTGCCTCTTGGAGTGGATCAGAATACTTGCGCGTGGCTTGACTCTTGTGATTGCGCGTTCGACTGAGGCTTGCCTCTTGGAGTGGATCAGAATACTTGTGCGTGGCTTGACCTTTGTGAAAGGGTGTTCGACTGAAGCTTGCCTCTCGGAGGGGCTCAGAATTCTTGTGCGTGGCTTGACCTTTGTGAGAGGGTGTTCGACTGAGGCTTGCCTCTGGGAGTAGATCGGGATACTCGTGCGTGGCTTGACCTTTGTGAGAGGGTGTTCCACTGAGGCTTGCCTCTTAGAGTGGATCAGAATACTTGTGCGTTGCTTGGCCTTTGTGAAAGGGTGTTCGACTGAAGCTTACCTCTGGGAGTAGATCAGGATACTCGTGCGTGGCTTGACCTTTGTGAGAGGGTGTTCGACTGAGGCTTGCCTCTTGGAGTGGATCAGAATACTTGTGCGTGGCTTGACCTTTGCGAGAGGGTGTTCGACTGCGGCTTGCCTCTTGGAGTGGATCAGAATACTTGTGCGTGGCTTGACCTTTGTGAAAAGGTGTTCGAATATGGCTTGCCTCTTGGAGTGGATCAGAATACTTGTGCGTGGCTTGACCTTTGTGACATGGTGTTCGACTGAGGCTTGCCTCTTGGGGTGGATCAGAACACTCGCGCGTGGCTTGACTTTTGTGATTGTGCGTTCGACTGAGGCTTGCCTCTTGGAGTGGATCAGAATACTTGTGCTTGGCTTGACCTTTGTGAAAGGGTGTTCCACTGAAGCTTGCCTCTTGGAGTGGATCAGAATATTTGTGCGTGGCTTGACCTTTGTGACAGGGTGTTCGACTGAGGCTTGCTTCTTGGAGTGGATCAGAATACTTGTGCATGGCTTGACCTTTGTGATAGGGTGTTCGACTGAGGCTTGCCTCTTGGAGTGGATGTGAACACTTGCGCGTGGCTTGACCTTTGTGACTGAGTACTTGTGCGTGGCTTGACCTGTGCGAGAGGGTGTTCGACTGAGGCTTGCCTCTTGGAGTGGATCAGAATACTTGTGCGTGGCTTGACCTGTGTGACAGGGTGTTCGACTGTGGCTTGCCTCTTGCAGTGGATCAGAATGCTTGTGCGTGGCTTGACCTTTGTGAGAGCGTGTTCGACTGAGGCTTGCCTCTGGGAGTGGATCAGAATACTCGCGCACGGCTTGACCTTTGTGAAAGGCTGTTCGACTGAGGCTTGCCTCTGGGAGTGGATGAAAATACTTGCGCGTGGCTTGACCTGTGTGAGAGCGTGTTCGACTGAGGATTGCCTCTTGGAGTGGATCAGAATGCTTGCGCGTGGCTTGACCCTTGCGAGAGGGTGTTCGACTGAGGCTTGCCTCTTGGAGTGGATCAGAATACTCGCGCGCGGCTTGACCTTTGTGAAAAGCTGTTCGACTGAGGCTTGCCTCTGGGAGTGGATGAAAATACTTGCGCGTGGCTTGACCTGTGTGAGAGCGTGTTCGACTGAGGATTGCCTCTTGGAGTGGATCAGAATGCTTGCGCGTGGCTTGACCCTTGCGAGAGGGTGTTCGACTGAGGCTTGCCTCTTGGAGTGGATCAGAATACTCGCGCGCGGCTTGACCTTTGTGAAAAGCTGTTCGACTGAGGCTTGCCTCTGGGAGTGGATGAAATACTTGCGCGTTGGGCTTGACTTTTGTGATTGGCGTTCGACTGAGGCTTGCCTCTTGGAGTGGATCAGAATACTTGTGCGTGGCTTGAAAAGGTGTTCGAATGAGGCTTGCCTCTTGCAGTGGATCAGAATACTTGTGCGTGGCTTGACCTTTGTGACATGGTGTTCGACTGAGGCTTGCCTCTTGGGGTGGATCAGAACACTCGCGCGTGGCTTGACTTTTGTGATTGTGCGTTCGACTGAGGCTTGCCTCTTGGAGTGGATCAGAATACTTGTGCGTGGCTTGAAAAGGTGTTCGAATGAGGCTTGCCTCTTGCAGTGGATCAGAATACTTGTGCGTGGCTTGACCTTTGTGACATGGTGTTCGACTGAGGCTTGCCTCTTGGGGTGGATCAGAACACTCGCGCGTGGCTTGACTTTTGTGATTGTGCGTTCGACTGAGGCTTGCCTCTTGGAGCGGATCAGAATACTTGTGCGTGGCTTGACCTTTGTGAAAGGGTGTTCGACTGAAACTTGCCTCTTGGAGTGGATCAGAATACTTGTGCGTGGCTTGACCTTTGTGACAGGGTGTTCGAATGAGGCTTGCTTCTTGGAGTGGATCAGAATACGTCGCTTTGCGTTGCTTCTCTTCGGTCTGATTAGCGTCGCTTTGCGTGGTATTCACCGCGCACTCGCGCGCTTGTATGAAGTTAAGCTGTGCTTCGATGGCGCAGGCTCGCGGCCAGTCGGGGGCTGGGGTGTTTGTAGCGTCCACTCTTCAAGGGTTCTTGTTTAAAGTTGTGGGCGCCATGTCTCTCTGTTTAAACGGTCCTCATTTGGCTCAGCGCCTGCTTCACTTCTTTGTTTGGTTGACTTGTTGGTCTCAGGAGAAATCCTCGTTTACCCGAAAGCGTTAGTGGAAGATTCTTCTGAACAAATGATTCCTGGTTGCACAGCCTCACGTTCTGGTTGCAAAACTCTCTGTTTCTTATCCCTTTCTTGCCCTTTCCTATTTTCTAATTTCTCTTCACGCTGTCTACGCACAAGGCTCGATGTTATGGATTTGCGAGAAACAACGGTAATCGATAGAAGGCTCACTAATTTGGTAAACAAAACCAATCTGAACAAATAATTTCGACCGTGCCTCATTTAGGTTTGTGCCGGGCCTCGCAAACGGCCCAACCCAAAGCGCAAACGCAACAACACCTGTTGATGCTGTACTATGCAATTCGTGCCATGTTGGCTTTCTTGCCTGGCCCCAGGACTTTCGTGTGGCAACTTCTTGCCCGTGGCAGAAGATTGCTCCTGGAGCGCTGTGGCCCGTCAACTTCTTTGTGCAGATCCCCTGCATCGCTGCTCTGCAACCGAGGGCTTGCGCATGCTGACTTCTGGCTGCCGCTCGCCTTCGTTTGGTAGTGCAAGCGAACAGTCGACATCAGAGACGGTCCTGCCGCACCTGCCGGTGCCGCACAAGCGCAGATGCGTTGGCAAGCAGTTTTGCAGCCGGCGGTGGCACATGAAGTGTGGGCACCGTCAGCTAGCTGTTTGGGAAAGGTTGCAAAGCTGTGACCTGCCTTGTTTCTGGTGCATAGAAGACGGCTTCTGTCTGACATTTGCAGACCCAGTGCCCAGATCTGAGGCCATGGAATTGAGTAGGAGCGTGGCTCACGAATGTGAAGTCCTTCCATGCACCTGCAGCGTGCAAGATTGAAAATCGAAGCGGCGAAGAGAGCATGCATTGCCAGCGTTTTTCCCGTTTTTTCCTTTATATTCTTGGCAGCTTCCCCTCCCCTTTACTCCTCACCACATTAATTGTTCTCTGGAATTATTTACCAACCAGCCAGCCAGCCAGCCAACTAACAAAACACTGAACACACATGCACAATCACAAATCACACAAAAACTGAACCAATTCAACCTAGACCACGCCAAATCAAGCCAAACCGAAACAAACGAAGCCAACCGCACACACACACACACACAACACACACACACACACACGCAAACACAGACAGAAAGCGCACAATGCACAAAAATCGCTGTTCGAAATTGCCCACCCAAATTGTTGCCATGTGTGTGTGTGTGTTTTTTGTTGTTTTTTGCTGTTCAGCTTGGGTTGATCACAGATCGGGTCCACTTTGGTTGGCCTCTAAACATCCACCTCTGCCATTTCATTTGTTCAACAGGTGGGGTGTTGCCCGTGGCGAAAAGAGGGAAACTACTCAGCTTCCCCCTGAATTGGCGGTTTTGTCTGGTGGTTTGGATGATCCCAAACCACCAATTCTGGGAAGGCTGAACTATAGGGGAAGCCACGTGGGTGTGACATCTACGGAATTCTTCAAAAGCTGTTGGACATTTAAAAATTTGAGTCCCCGGATTCGAGGCTTCTGGCTCACGAACTACCTGGAGACGCTGCTGGTTCAGGTTTGGTACCCCATGACTGTGGCGACGCAGAGCCGGGCCCAGAAGAAGGCAGAGCTGACCAACTCAGCTGAGCTGACTTTGCGTTGGTTTGGGTTGTTTTTGAAACCCACCCCCCCACTTTCGGGAAATGTATGGAATCGCAGGTTTGTTTTTTCTCGATTCCAGAGGAAAAGCGCTCGTTTTTGTTGGCATGTAAGGATCCGGGTCATTACATCTAGGATCCTGAGATCTATTCTAGGTCCCCCAGTAGTGCCCTTTTACCCCTTTTTGGGGGAGGGTTCCCTACTAAAATAGACAAAACCAAAAACAAGTTGGTACCCTTGTTCTAACCTCTCTACTGGAGGACCCAGGGTATATGAACCCAACCATTGCTTTCATGGATTGAATCCCAGGGTGGGGAATGATGATCCCCTTGTAATTGTCAATCCCCCAGTTGATACCCTTTACAAGAGGACCTAGTATTTGTTCTTTCGTTTGGTCTCTGACAATTGAGATGCCGAAGCCTCGAGCCCAAGAAAACACGGCCAAATCCACGGCGAAAGCAGCAAAGAACGCCGCGGAAGGCAACGCAATTTCACGCCCAACAGGTTGTCTTTTGTGTAATGTTCAGTAGAATCCTGGACATTTGCAAAGCCCGGCAAAAAGAGTTTGCAGGTGCCCAGGTATGTATTTTTTTTAGGTGGGGGGCCTTAAGCATCACTGGTTGGGCAATTATTGCCTAAGCCTCTCTTTGGTGGCGTGATATTTGAAGCGGCAGACAATGTTAGAAGGGTTGTTACCCTGAACGCGTTATCAGTGATCTGCTTCCAGGGTTAGGTCAAAGTCAAGGCCAGGCTAGTGGATGGGAATTTTGATCATTGTTAAAATTGTGGGGTCAATCTTGCCACTACCCCCGAAACCCTCCGAAAAGGTCATCAGACTCCTTCGGTCAAAACGCTTGGGGGGCTGGTTTCCTCCCCAATACAGGATCCTTCCACGCAGTTTGTGTGGATACAATGCGCATGCAGTCCTTGAGAGCCGGCTGCCCGTGATATATCTAGCCGGGTTGGGGTTTTCCATATCCGATCTTTCAAACACACCGATCTCAGGATCGTACTGTGGATGGACTAATCCTGCACCACTTTGACGCCGTGGGAAACTTGTATTTGTTGGTGTTTACAGGGGAATCATCAGAAGTTAGGGTTTCTTAGGTGGTGCAGGATTTCGTCCATCCACAGTATGCGTTTTGGTGCAAGTATCCTGATGGTCCATTCTGGGGAAAGACGCACCGAATTTCCCACAAGATTGAAAAGACACATGGCCCGGCAACAAGGGCCCAGCACGTGAGCGAACTGGGCCCCGTATGCAATGTGACAACGTGACGCGTCAACATGTCCCTTCTTGGTTGCTCCCAGCCATCCCCTTAGCTTTTAGCTGTTTAATGTCTTTTAGGGTTTAGTGGGGGTTTCTCCATTTAACCCTCCAAAAGCTAAACTTGTAGCAGGGGATCTGCATGAACACGGAAAGCCCAGTGTTGTCCACCCGTTTTGCCCTTGACTGTTTGCTTTCAAACGAGCATTGAGCGGCCTGACAGAGATATGACCCAAGGAGCCAGCACGAGAATGTTTATCACCCCCAAAAAACACAGCACGTTGTTTCTTCCTTGCTGGTATTAGCTTACCATGAGCCAACCCAGTGTTTCATTTTTTTTGGCCTGGGGCACCTTAAAGATGTCTCAGCCAAGTGACGGACGCCCTTGCTGCTCTGTTGGTTGGTGTCTGCAAAATGAGACGTGGCGCCCTTGTTCGGTGGGTCTTTGTGGGAGCTGAATCAGCTGCGCGACGCCCTGGATCTCAGTTGTTCAGTGGCACCAATTCTTTGTCCTTGTTATTTTGGTGGCTGCCAAAAACCAAAAATGGTCCAAGCCCCAAAAAGGATTCCCTTTTTATTCCCAGGGTCACTGAAGAACTGAGGGATGATAGTGTTGGAAATTTAAGTCGCTTCCTGAGCTCCTGGGCGTTCAACTTTTCGGGAAGACCATTTGGGTATGGGTCAAATTTCTTGGCACAGGAGCTCCTCCTAGCAGCCGTCCAAAAAAAAAATGGGTCAAAATTAAAACCAACAGGAATTGGACCACAGGTTTTAGTCCATGTGTCCATTTGCTAGGGTTCCATATTTGGGTACCTATTTTTAACCCACACCCTTTTGAGTGGCAAACAAAAGGTGTGGATTTTTTGGACCGTCAAGTCAAGACGCGAGTTAAAGTGACCCAAGATGATAGTTTCCGATGGGGTCAATGTGTAGGGTTCAGGTGATGTGATGATGACGCTCATTGAGTCGCCATTCATGATTCTCAACCTGCTACTAAAGCAATCTAAACCATCTGCTGGGAACCCGGGTCAGCGCAAGTGCATCGATTGAGCAGACTTTGGGGTTGAAACTTTGTGTGATTCCGACTTGTCTAACTTGGGCGTGATGTATAGTTGCAATTTATGAACCAGCGGTCATTGGATGGCGCAGCACGTTTTGATGCGCTGCGCTGTCGATTTTGGGCTTGCCACTACCTCGTCGTACATAATGATTGCGGGTTCAAAATGAAGTCAGCAATCATGAATTCGATGGTGGACTTCATGAACAGCAAAGTGCTTATTGCAATGAAATCATGAAATTAGCAATGAACATGCAGGTTATCATGGACGCGATGATGAAGACTGGCGACTGGGTGATCATAGGTGTCCCCCCCCCTCCCCCCCCCCCCCCGCCCTCAAGGCGAGAATTTTATTGAGAAGTCAAAGCTTGTAGCTCCAAAACCCATAATTTCGCGCAAGAGGCCCTATTCAGGCTATCAATGAGTGCTTGTTGAAAGTTAGCAAGCATGAATAAGCTTCAACAAGTCCTCAAATCTGCAGTTTCGGAGTCCTGCGGTTGCAGCTGGGACGTTCTCAATTGGAAACTGCAGCCGCTTTCTTCGAAGCAGTTGTCATAGCCTGGAACAGTTGATCGGATCGTTCAAGCTGGATGCCCAAGTAGATTAACTTGCAGTACAGGTGGCCGATTGGCAGGCAGTATTTACGGTGTTGGCCAGGCATCCGGAGCAGGCGGCAAAAGCTGAACAGCATGTCACTAGTGACATCACATAGCGCCTCAAGGCGCCTCAATAGCACCTCAATAACTTTGAATAACACCTCAATACTGCTGACTAACGCCTCATTAACTCTCAATAATATCTCTCAATTCCGCTCAATCCCAGCGGCAATGCGTAGTTTCTCAAGCATCCACTGAGCAGAGCCTCCATTGTGTTTCATTAGTGCTTCGTAGAATCCAACACACGGTTCCACTAGAGTAGGGTAGGTTTCGGTTGGGCTGTCAGGCTGCCGGCCGGCTAATCATGGAGGGGTCACCGGGTTGGCTCGGAGTGCGAACACTCCCACGAGTGTTGAGAAGTGGACCTTTTTGGACGGGCAATTTTGGGCCAAGCTCCCTGAGAAAGGGGAGGTGGTACCTGGAGAGGGGTAGCCAGACGTCTATGAGGTGAGCATATCTATGTGCATGCTTGATAGCAACCAACAGCCCCCAGATTGGCGTGTATCTTTTTGGGTAGCCTGTTTGGGCTTAAAAGGCCGAAAAGAAGCAGCCCAGGTTGGGGTTGCAACCGATAAGGGCAACACCAAGCTACCCTACAAACATGGAAGCGCACAGACCGAACCCTTAAACGAGTTTTCCTTGGAAAGGGAGCCTGCGCTGTTCCAGGTTTGGTTGGGTATTTACTCTCCTTCAACCCTCATTGTCACCTGGTAGCCAAAAGGTAAAAGCATAGAATTATGTTGTTTAGTGATTCGTTTAAAACAAAAGTAAGCAACAAAGGAAACAAGTACATTCTGATATATGACCATGGTTTACTTTTTCAACCAGGAGGGCGGCTTCCAACGTGGAGCTTCCGATTCCGCACGCCACGCTTCGGAGAAACAGTTTGCCTTGGGCGCGCGTCCCGATGACACCGCGCGTCCCGGTGTGAGCGATGCCGAGGCACGGACCTGAAAGCGATGCCGAACAAGTTGCCGGCTCCCGCGAAGCTGATCACCGTGGGCTTCCAGCTGAATGACTTTGGGTGCAGAGGACGGACAAAATCGGAGAAAAAAGGCGAGCGAAAGAAATGAAATCGAACTCGGTGTCTCGGCCTCTGAAAAAAAGAGGAATTAAAAGAGGCGAGCTGAAGGTGCAGGTACCAAAGAGTGCGGAATGTCCTTTGACACATTTTCAACTGAAGAGTGACCAGAAACATCAAAAGGGTCATTTAATTAGTAGGTTCTAACGCCTGGTGTCATTGAAATTATCGTAAGGCCTCTAAACCTTCGCAAGCCTCGAGCCAGTCAGCTCGTGTAGGCGTCTCCTCCATGGAGACCGCGTGCATCGGCGGGGCGGCCCACTTGGTGAATTTCTGCGGCAGCGACACGATGCCAGGCGCAGCCGTTGAGCCGTTCGACTCGGCTTTGAACTGGCTTCGAGGCTTCGACTCTTCGGATTTTCCGGACCCCCAGCCGAGGGGAAATCTCCGGCGCCACATGTTTGGGCAGGTGGGTTCGGCACAGGAAGCTTCCGGCAGTTGACTCGGTGTCCTCCAAAGACGCATTTTTTGTGTTTTTTTTTGCGGGGGTGGGATCCTCAAGGTCACAGCTGTTTGGGATAAAGAGCTAAAGAACATGTTTGCAACTTGGGCTTCCCTTCTCCCAACTTTTTCTTCCTAGGATTTGGCAGGGCCATTCGGGAGCAGTCCCGCCAAGCTTCCTCACGGAACCCTGCTCAAGATTCTATGAACTGTAAATCGGGTGCGCCACCCCACAGAGGTGCGCCACACACACACACAGAGAGAAGAGAACAGGCAGGGATGATATTTGGTGGCCTCACCCAAGAAGATCATGGACACCTTCCATAGACCGGAAGCCTGATTTCACCTCCATTTGCTGACATGAAACTTGTGTCTCAATAAAACCCCTGTTGGTTCCTTCAGGGAATCGATCACTGGACCATTTTTTCCAGGGGACTTCAAGCAAATGGTTCAGTCTGGCGAAACCCGAATCTGGCAAGCGGCACGAATCATGACTAGGTTCTCTCAAAGGCCGTTGATGTCACAGCGAAGGGCTGGAAGGGCTGGTGGTCAACATTTGTTTTCAACCTTTTACAGAATCATTCACACCACTTGGCCGACTTCACTTTGGATGTTCCGACCCGCTGGTTTTGTTTCAAATTCATTTCCAGGAGGTTTTGGGACCCTCCAAAACTGCCTTCCCAACCAAACCGACCAGCTCAACCCTGCCCCCTCAAGCTCCCCCATGTTTCCGAATGTTTCGCTTTTGGTAGTGCCAACATGGCCTGTTGGGACAATTGTTTTGTGAGTTTCCTTTTGGTGGGGTAATGTTCCGCGGTTGGCAATCTAGGGCGCCCTGTCTGCCCAACCCAATCCAACCCCCGCACAACCTCCCCCCACTTGCCCCACGCCCCGCCACCCAAGCCCCCCAAACCCCTTCCAGCCTTTTTCAGAGCCTTAAAAACTAAGAAGATTCCACCACATCCTGTTCTGCCAAATGGGTGTGGCTCAAAATTTAGGAGCAGGGGTTGCGCATGTTTTGGTCTTTCCTAGGGGCCATGTTGGGAAATATTTTTGAGCCACAGACATTGAACCACCCACCCACCCAACCAACCCACCCACCCACCAAGAAGCTTCCACCACATCCTGGGTTCAACCTCCAAGAAGCTTCCACCACATCCTGTTTTCAACCCCCAAGAAGCTTCCACCACATCCTGGCTCCCCCAAATGGGAGGCTTGTGCATGGCGGTGGACTACTACAACCTGCCCCTCGCATCAGTCCAAGGCACCTCCGTGCCGGCGGCTGAGCACTCCACCATCACCAGCTGGACCAAAGCAGGCAATTCCTTCGCGGCCGAAGCCTCCGACAGGTTTCCAGGTCTTGCACTTATTTTTTTGTTTTTGCGTTTGGTCCGCTTTTTTGTTTTGGTGTGTGTGTGTGTGTTTTTTTTGGTCTGGCACTTTTGTTGTTGTTCGTTTTTGTTTTGGTCCCCATTTGTGGGTTGCTTTTGTCACGTGCACTTGCTGTTGCCGTTTTTGGGCCTGATCCCTTCCCCAATAAAGCAGCTGCGCCGACAGAGGCCCCGTGCGAACTTGAGTGAGTGAGTGAGTGGTTGCTTTCGTTCCAGTGTTTTCATGGGGCGAGCCTTTTCCATTTGTGGTTGTCGTTTGTTTCCTGCGTTCAGAAAGTGCGAACATTTTTCGGGGTAACATGACACCACTTATTGGGGTTGCCCTTTGACACACACCCATTTTGGATGGGGGTTCCATTTCTGATCATTTCTGGATAGAACACTAGTCATAGACTACCAGTACTTTTAAGACCAAACCTTATATTGTGCTAAGATGGTTTCCACTACGCCCAAAACCACTACCTGGGAAAACAACGGGGTACATACCCTTTACGTTGTGGCTAATATGGTGGTTGTATATTTCATGAAACACCTGAAGGTAGTGATTTGGGTGTAGTGATCCCCGAAAACAGCCGGCCGCGGTTCTGCCTATCTAGCGAGCTTGTGATATTGAATCATGGGAGCGTAAGCTGTGGTATGAAACCTGCCATGGCTGGATGCCCTCGAATGCCCTCTTATCCGTGCAACTATAACTTTGACATGGGACTATCTGCTCATATCTGGAAAAGTCACTCTGACATGTGCAAGCCTTGCAGATGGTTCGAGAGAAAGAGCTCGGTTGATGAATAGAGGCGGCATCACCATGCAAAGACAATTCATGAACTGTTGCCACACACCGAGCTGCTCACCGTGTCGCAACAGTGTGTCGGAGAAACCTGCTAGTTCAGGGCCCCCTATATGTCTGCTTTCGGCAGTTTTAAGCATCATCTTTTGAAGTTTGGCAAGTTTCAAGCCCGATTGAGTTCCCTTTTGGCGGGGGGATGTTCAAAGGGGAATCTAGGGAGCCCTGCATTGCTCACGCGAAAGCCCCCGAGTACCCAGCTGGGAAGCAAACGCGACAGGCGAGAAGGATGCGTTCAAGAACATGCTCACTCAGTACCCCGAGGGTATCGTCGCTGTTGTCTCAGACTCTTATGCACCTTGGCCGCAATGAGCGAACAATCTCCCGTGTTCCAATCATGAAAGCCGTTCCAAAGTTTCTCAGCTTTCCTTTTGGTTTTTTCACCAACTCCGATTGGATTCACGGGGCTTTCCGGATCCACGTCTGGAGAAATGCCGTTTTCAGGAGTAGCAGTGGGGGCCCAAGACTTGCTCCTGCCTGGAATGGCAGGACTCTGCAATCGAACACGGGTCCCAAAGGTGGAGTCTTGTTGGCCGAGTCTTGTTGGCCGAGTCTTGTTGGCCAATTTTTGGAAATGGGGCCCTGTGGTTCGAGAGCATTCTTTTCTCACATTCCAAACGAGTTCCACTTCCGCTCTATTTCCCTTCTTGTTTAGTGGCTAGGTCCCCCAGTAGTGCCCTTTCTCACCCTTTTTTGGTTGGGAGGGTTCCCCTACTAAAATAGACCACGTACAGAAAAAAGTTGATACCCTTATTCTACCCTCTCTACTGGAGGACCTAGGCGGGTTCCCCGCCAAGAATGGCAAGACCCCCGAACAGGTCTCCTTTTTCAAACCGGGCAATTGGGTTGTGCCTTGCGTGTGGGCGTTAATTGCTCCGCAGCACGTTGGTTGATGTGCAGGACATCTACAACGCCTGCGACCAGCTGTGGGGGAACGAGTTGACTCCTGCACGCAGTTGATGCGTTTGCTGCGTTTGGTTTCTTTTGGATTGTGGCTCAATTTGAAAACCTATTGACCGAATCAAGTTGAGGGGAAGCCCGAGGAAGTTACTTCTTGCAAGGGACTTGTCGGACTCCGAGAGAAGCCATGCTGAAGTCCCAGTAAGGATTTGATATCCATGCTTCATAAGCTCACCCCAAGTTCAAAACCCAGGACAGAGAGCACCTACAACAACGGAGGTGAAATGAGCCAATTGGGTATGTGTCATAGAATTTTTTTGGACCCCAGAAACGGTGCCCGGTGGTTTGTTCCTTTTGGCTGCCCTTTTAACCACCCCAAAACGGTACCTGGACCCTCAAACCACCCATAAAAAAAGGAACTTGCCCCGTGTTGTTTGGCAATCATCGATTTTTTAAGGGAAGTTTGAGGGTCCAGGTACCCACATTTGAAAGCCGCGTCAATGCCAAGCTTGCTTGAGGAAAGATTTGATCGCGTCCCGTGCGCCGCCGACTGGGCGACTCGTGGTTCGGCCAGACTCAGGCGTGGCAGATGTGCTTCGACTCAGTTGTTCAGTGGCACCAATTATTTCCCCTTCTTTTTTTGGTGGCTGCCAAAAACCAAAAGTGGTTTTCCCCAAAAAGGGGTCCCTTTGTTCCCACGGTCACTGAACAACTGAGGAAAAATGGAATGACCGCGAGCAAAGCCATCTCCTCTGGTTTCCTTAAGGGAACCTCAAAACGGTTCATGCCCGAAACCATGGGTTATTCCCTACCTATCGCACCAGGAAGAAAGGGCGGTGACATGCTTTTGTGAGATGAGACTGAACAGGCATGCTGCTTGTTTCTTCAGAAATCTTCAAAAGCTTTGCCACCCTTTGGGCAAAGATGGCAGGTTTCCTGTCGAACAAGTTGGCTTTCAATTGTTGTTCAGGCGATCCCAAGACCATCGTGGTGGACGTGCTTGAGCGGCTCGCCAAGCTTCTTGGTTGAAAGGTGACGCGTGAAATCGGGTTGAATGATGGATTCCCAGCGAATAGTCCGGCCCCAAAAGGGGTTTAATTGGTTTTAGTTGGTGAAAGGTGCGGGGTGGGCTCCACATACCGACGAAAAGTTAAACTTTGAGGGGATCAGTTCGGACAGCCCAGGCTAGACAGCCGCCATAAGGAGTCCCAATACGAGAACATCATGACCGTGGCCTAAGGTTCCAACATTGAGATCCTTTGAGGCACTGCATGTCTGAATCTACAATGCCTTCAGCGTTGTTTCTGAGCCCCTTTTTACATCTCTTTACCACTTGTTTTTCAGGTTCGCCATGCAACATTGACACAACCAAGTAGCTTCCCTTTCATGCGATTCTTCCTGGCCCGAAACGCCGATGTTGTTTTTGGTTCGAGGCATTTCCCCGTCACCACCAATGCAGCGGGCTACAAGGCAGGCCGCGTGCCTGGCTTTGCTTTTCACTTCCCCCTTTGCTTAGTTGTTGAGTGGCTCCCTTTTTCCCTTTGTTTTGGGTGGCTGCCCCACTAAAATGGTCTTCTCAAACAAGGGTTCCTTTTTTTTCCAGGGTCACTGAACAACTGAGTTTGTGTTTTAAGGTCCAGAGGGTGATGAGGCCTTTGAGGGAAAACTACGGATAGGATCTGATTGGATCTATCGAACTTGGATGTTTGGTCCAGTTAGATGCCGAGTCGCAAGGAAAACTTCGGTTAGAATTCGACCATGGGGCTAGCTCCGCTTGAGCGCTCACTTGGGACTTGTATGTTGGTCATTGGTTGTTACCTGATGCTGGTGAGTACTTACTAACTTGGCCGAACACCCATGCAGCTACAGGAACCCAAAAACCCGCATGCATCCATTTTTTCGGGTTACTCTCTGAAAGGTTGCAAGAGAGTATCCTTGTCAAAACCTGTTCACTAGCACCCATTGCGTGTATCTCCCCCCTAGAAGGCAAGCAACAATAAGGGAATGCCACGTGGGCCACAATCAAAACCTGGGTGAATGAAGGTTAGTACTGGCCAATCCCAGCCAGCTGCGGATCTCCGCCTTTCTAATTCTTTAATTGTGGCTCTGGCGTATTTGCGAGCTTTCCAACTTGCAAGATATGTCCGTGCCAGAGTATGAGTTCTGTCAGAGTGCGGATCTGGATCTGAGCTCTGTTGACGTAGGAAGGTGTCAAATCGAGCTGGGTGTGCAAAAGGTCTGAGTTGAGAGCCTCAGGGTGAGTTTCAATCAGTGTTGAATTATCAGGAAGACTGGATCCCCTGGTAGTGCGCTTTTCCCCTTTTTTGGGCGAGGGTTCCCTACTAAACAGGCAACAGCCAAGAATTGGGTACCCTTCTTCTAACCTCTCTGCTGGAGGACCTAGAAGAGTTTTGCACCTGAAGTACTTTTCATTTCACGGCAGAGTCCAGTGCGCAGATTGTTTTTCTCACTCGCTCAAAGGCGGTGACACCTGACAGCTGCTTTTTCTGGCTTCGGCACACGACTGCAGTGGGTGGACCCCGACATTTGGACAGAGGTTCGACGGAATGAAATCGTGGATGGCGAGTCAAACGGCTTCTTTCTTGAGATCTCACCTGTTCTTGGACGTTAAACCCTTTTGGTGCCGAAAGATATGCAACAAGCAACGAAGCTCCCGCAAACTGTTTTTTGTTTCCTTTGCTGCTGCTTCGAAGGTTTCTAAAGCTTCGTCCTCCATTTGCATCGCAGTGGCAAGCAAGCACAAAGGCAGCATGGTTTTGGGACAGAACTCCTTCCTCATTTTTCTCCCATTCCCCTGTCCCCCTGTCCCCTACTTGGATGTTCCGCCAAGTTAGCAAGTGGTTGGTAACCTACGTGACCATCCACTCAAGTCGTGAGCTTTTGGAATTTCGGAATCCATGAAGCACTCGGTTTTTTGGAGCCAACTTGGGCCCTTTGGCCTTGTGAACGGTCGCGGGGGTTCTGAGTCCCGGTAGGTGCTGCCTCCGTACCTCCGGGTGATCCAGGGAGATGGCATCTCCTATGAGTCCTTGCAGGCCTCGTCTTGCGCAAGCGAGAAGCCGTGGGACCTGGGTTCGCCTAGACCCCCACGAATTTGCGTGGGGCGGTCCATTCCCATCGTGTTTTTTTTGTTTTTGTTAAAAAAAAAAAAAAAAAAAAAACGACAAGCAACCACCAAGCATGGGGGCTTCCCCAAAAAGATGTGCATTGCTTTGAATCCGGCTAGGTATAGCCCATGTAACTAGCCCTACGGTGCCCTACAAAGGTGAGGTGTGCTTTCGAGATGCCACTGCAGACGCAGGGCCTGTCTTAAACAGGGGACCCGAAATAGTGGTTTCCCTTGTGGATGTCCAGCAACCACCACCAAAATTGGGGTTACCCCCGCCAAAAAGACAACCCCGCTGGCAACCAGGGTTTGTTACATTCCTAGGGCCAACTCACCAGAAATTGGACATACGAGCCCCACCGAGACGGCCTAGGAGGGAGGGATTTGGGGCTACCCTGCGAAACCCATAACCCATGTACCCCTTAGTTGTGGGGTATTTCCATTTGGAGTATGAGGGTATTCAAGTTGAAACAGCTAGAAGCTACTACACTGGCCGGTTGAATCTGTTTCGGGCGCATGTCGTGACCTGTCGCGAGGAGATCTTGTCGAATATGGCGGCCGCTCGATGCAAGAGGTGCAGGGGCCGATGGGCCGATGGGACGTTGATAAGCTCACCTCCGATGGGTTCCTGGGCGTTCGACGTTTTGGGTTTGGACAATGACCTAGCGGTATATGGCTGTGGGTCAAAACCGTTTTGGGATCCCATTTGGGGATAGGTTACCATTTTGGGTTTTCGGTGCACCCATGTTAGTCTATTTTAGTGGGGATTGCGATGTTCACTGGGGGTAAGGGAGTTTGACCCATGGCCAGAGAACACGTTTGGACTTGTTTGGGCCAAACCACTCAGGAAGTGAGTGTAAACACTGTGCCGCTCGGATTTGTGGTTTCATGACTTTGGTTGCCAATGTGCCTTCGGGGCCTACATCGTTAGAATGGGCTGCTAGGGGTATTCTAAAGCCAGTTTGAAAGTGGTGATAGGGGCACGCACGCATTCACGCACAGAATAGACTAGGGTTGATCCCCCATTCCTTTCAACCGTCGTTCTTTTCAAAAAAAACTGCTGTTTCTTTTTGGGTGTTTGATGGTTTCCTGAAAAGATTCGGATCCCTGGAAAGAATGGAATTGGAAGGTACCCCTAGAAATAGACTAGTTCCACCCATGAGTCGCCTTGAAGGGGACCTGATTTGCCCTTTGATTCGGTCGGCACCCCCCGCCTGTTTAAGGAAAAACATAACCCGCGCATCCATCCACCCCTACCCGCCCACGAAGTGACGCACCCGCCCAGGCACCCGCCCCCCTGACACCTTCTCCAGGTTTCCCTTACGGAAATTGTGGTCACTTTGACCCCTTGACTTGCTCCATATAAGTGCGGCTTAAAATGAAAGAGCTAGGGTGAGGCGGGGTTTAGTCTTTGGTGGCACTTACCAAGCTGCGATGTTGATACGTGTTTTTGAGCCACAGCCATATGGTCATCAACCTCCCTCTTCAGGGGTTTTAGGCAAGGAGTAGTCCTGACAACTACTCCTTCGGAGATGCAAGTGCATGTGCACAGGCGAATTCACTCGCAATGACAGAACTGACATAACTTAAATCTGTCTGCGTCTCCAAATGTTGGGACCCCGAAAATGATTAGTTTCCTCTGGGTTTCCCTTTAAAACCACCAAACCACCAGGTACCCTCAAACAAAGGAACCACGCCCAAATCTGGCTTTGACCTCGCATAAACTCATTCAGGGCCTTCGGTACTTGGAGGTGTTCTTATCCAACTCAGGCAAAGCATTGGGCGGCCGAGAACGTCCTCTTCGGCTCAGGCGGCAGTGCCATTGTTTATGTTACACCCGACGCCTGGGGAAGTACCCATGGGCTATTGTCAGATGAAGCTCCATTTTTCACACTTTTGACCACTTCGGCATGTTGCTGGGGCGTACACAGGTGTAATAATAGTAATAATACTACTAATAATAATGATAGTAACAATAAACAAAGTGATAATAGTCATAGTCATAGTCTCATTTTCTCAGCTCACGGACTTCAAACTTTTCAGGAAGACCATCTTAGAAACACAGAGAGGGTACCTTTTTTGGCAGCGACGAACTCGATCGGAAGTGGAGTTTAATCTCTTCCACCGATTACACCCACAATGCTGACCCCATATTGGGGTGTCCACCTGGGTTGCGTGGTTGGAATTATCACTTTTGGAGGGGCCAAAACCACCCTCCCCAATCTAATAAACTGGTTGATTAGTATGGGTATGGGTCAAAATCAAACCACCAGGAATTGGACCGCAGGTTTAGGTCCATGTTTCCACTTACTATGGTTCCATTTGGGGTACCTAGAGTCCGCATGACCCTTAAAAAATGGTTGGTCATGACCTAAAATAGCGGGGTTTGGTGACCCATGTTTAAAGGGTCAGAAGGAGACTCCAGGTACATGTCCCATCCACCCCACCGAAAAGGAAGGTCCGGGGAAAAAAAAGGAAAAACATGGGCCAAAAGGTGAGGTCTAAAACCACCAAAAGGGGAAATGCAGGGAGCCCTATTTTTGACCCACAGCCATAGGTCAACATGATTGAATACGGCCCAAACCCAAGAGCCTTGGGATCTGTGCGAGACTCGCAGGCGAATGAGAAGCGGAATGAAATTTCAGGATCTGCCCTTAAAGGGAACCACCAGTTGGATGTGTTTTTGTTTCTTTTGGTCACTCCATTTCTCATTTTTTTGCTGAGCACCTGCAAGTGTTTGCAAATATAAGCCACTACTACACTCCTGCCAGCCCTGTTTGAGAGGGTGCCTTCAACACTTCCCTTGTTACAACTGTATGCAAAACACGTTTCCCTTGTGAATTGTAAGCCCAAGTTCAAAGTTTTAGTTTCAATGTCGCCTTTTGACATCCCAATTCCACAATAAACTTCCTTACTTGGCAGATTATGATTTCGGTCGTTCTCAGGAGACCTGGTTCTACGACACTAGTTGAAACCCCTGGGAGCCCCTTTCCCCTCCCCCCTTCGGTACCCGATGAATGAAGGGAATCCGGAAGAAGAGGGTGAACGGATTGAAGGAATTCCCATATTTCCCGAATTCCTGAGAGATTTGAAAATTCTTAGTACTCAATACCAGAGTTCCTGAAAAACAGAGAATGTCATCTTGTGTAGTCCAATATATTCTGGTCACGTTGTTTTCCATGTTGAAGCGGCGCGCAGCATTTCCGGCTTCCAGCGGTCGACCGAGCCTCCCCGTTGACTCCTTCGCTCGAGAGCGAGTAGCGAATCTCCATGGCGTCGTCGGGCGACTTCGGCGCCGGCAACCCCTATGGCGACCCCAACTGGTACAACGGCAACTACCACAGCCCGTGGCTACGTTGAATTTGGGGGTGGGCTGATTTGAGGTTTGTTTTTTTTGTTTCAGCCTGGTTCGCTTGAAAAACGCCAGAAATCCGTGTGTTTCCATGGTGTTGGTTTGAATTTGGGTCTGTCTTTAAATCTGTATGTACCTTGGGCACAATCTCCTTACCTGCTCTTGTGGTACCTGGGTGTCAAAATAGAGAGCCCCCCCACAAAATTGATTTTGCCTTTCCGGAAAAAAAAGGAAACCGACCTTTTTTGTTTAGGGTACCACAAAAACAGTTTTCAGATAAACAACTAACAAAATCTGACCCTTTTTCAGGAAAGGTACCGCGCAAAAAGACAAAAACAAGGAACCACCCAGCAAAGCTATAGGTACTCCCTTTTGTTTAGAGTACCGCAAAAAACAAAGAAACAACAAAACACACAAACAACCAAAAACCAAAAAGAAACAAACAATAACAACAACCAAGAACGGAACTCGCCAGAAGCGCTCGCTATAGGTACTACAAGGAGACCCACCGAGCCTGGCGCCAGCGCTGCCGCGCCTTTGTGGAGCAGCACATCATGCCCTACGTCCACGACTGGGAGGTGAACAAGGCAACCGACTCGAGTCGATGCGGCGGAGTCGGTTCGCGCGAGCGAGTCCAGGGCTCCGCTTTGTGTTTCGGTCGTTTTTTTTGTTTTTGTCCTTTTTGTTGTTGTTTTTCCCAGGTGATTACATGCCCCTTTTTATTTTTTGGTTTTTATAGTGTCCCAGGTGGTGCCCTGTTTTTGTTTGTGAAGCGCGTTTGGTGTTGTTTGCTCTCTGGCAGTAAGTGGGAACTTTCTTTTCCGGTGATTCCATTTCCCTCGTTTTGAAGGTTACCAAGAGGAACCTGGCTTGCCTGCTATGCCTATATTCTCCTGGGTTTGTTTTGGATTGTTTTCCATGGTGTCTCCCTGGGTTTCCCCCAGGAACACACGTGTCGGGGATGCCCCAAAGGGAGATATGTCTGCAAATGATAGGATTCCAAATCTGAGTGTTCCCAAATTCTGGGGGTGGGCAACACATCACTAGCTGCCATAGACAGAGTCTCCCTGAAAAGGCTGGTAGGAGAAACACAAGAAAGCTGCTCATTTGCATTTGCTATTGGCTATGGCTTTTGGACCGATTTCGCTCACCTCCCTTGAGCTTGCCCAAACTGTTTTTTCCCCAACAGCTGGAAGCTTTGGGGTCTCAGCCCAGATAGGCTTCGGGGTGGTCCGGGGCGGCCCTGAGGTAAGGTTCCACGAGGGTTCCACCAAGGTTCCACCAGGGTTCCACGAGGGTTCCACGAGGTTCTGTGAGGGCTGGCGTGGTGCAATCACCAAGAAGAGCACCGCAGGCTGTTGGGGATATCACATGAGCTTATTTTCTTTGACTCCAAAAAATGAATGACACGCCAGACATTGCACATGGTGGGTTGGTCTACTTTTGGCTTCCCCAACACAGAGCCCAAAGGACACCTTGTTTTTCGAACGTCCCCTTGGAGAGAAACCGGCCCCACCCGTTCAGTGGTTGCTCAAAGGGCAGCAAACCTTGTTGACTTTAAGCACCAGAAGCAGAAGCAACGACAGACCCACGTATGGTTGCACTCATCTGGGTGGCCCGTCCTTTGTTTGAGGGCCCCCAAAATGGAGTTTGAAAATTTCCTGGCGCTTTCACTTTAAAGCCACGCAAGAGGGGGGGGTTATGATCTCGTGTTTTCCTGGTGTTTTTTTTCCTTTAAAACCACAAGCAGGGGGGTGACAGGGTTCAAAGAATCATCAAAGCCGTGGTTGGGTTTATATGGTTGTGGCTCAAAATTAAACAGGAGGGGCAAACCGCAGGTTTTGGTCCATGTTTCCACTTACCAGGGTTCCATTTTAGTACCGTTTTTTTGAGCCACAGCCATATTTCACCACCTTGGTTTACTTAAGAATTTGTCATCCAGTTTTTTTGCAAATGCTTTACAGAAAGGGGACCTCCTGGCAGTTTTTGTTTGGTGTTTTTACGCAAGCACGTGTTTCTCAGTGCTTTGTTTTTGGAGGGGTGTTGAACCCTGGGGTCCATGTAAAGCTGCAGGGGAGTAGTTCACTCCAATTCGGAGCCTCCAAAAAAACAAGAACAGGAACAGATCCTTGTGCTTTCCCTTGAAAACCACTACATGCAGATTTTCCCGCTGTTTTCCCTAAGACCCCGCCCCAAAAAAAAAGAAAATAACAATAAAAAACAGAAAGGGGGTGGTACCAACTCGAAAAAGGACCAGACCCATAGGGCCCATGCCTCGCACAGGCGGTGCCCCCAGAGACCTACGTGCAGTGCGCGGAGGCGGGGCTGCTGCCGGTGGTGGTCGGCCCCCACTCGGGCGCCTACGACCTCGTACCCTACGAGAAGCCGCAGGCTGGACGGACGGGAGGAGACGTGAGGAACTCGCGTGGATTCCGGCCTTCTTGTTTTCTTGGGAAGCTGGGTCTCCTTGAATCTTGACCAACCAAAAAGGATGTTCTTCTTTTTTTGGGAAGCTGGGTCTCCTTTAAACTTAACCAACCAAAACAAGGATGCCCTTTTTGTTCCTTCTTTTTTGGAAAGGGGTCTCTTCTTCTTGTTTTTGTTTTGGCGAGTTCCCCGTTGAAACTCAGCCAACCAACAAAAAGATGCCGTTGCTGATGTTCTTTTTTTTTTGCGAAGGGGTCTCCTTGAACAACTTAGCCAACCAAAAAAAGGATACCGAAGCTGATTCTCCCATGGAAATCCACTGGACATCTGAGTTTCTTTTTTGTTCAATCAAGTTTAAGGGGAAGAACATCTAAGCTCAGGTAATTTGGAGGTTCAACAAACCTCAGTTCGGTGATCTCGCGGATTCCTCTGGTTACATTGGTACCTGGAAGCAAGTGGGCGTAACATGAAGCATGATGTGACATTGTTATATTTTGCGGTGTCTTAACCACCTAGAGTCTCCATGACCCTTAAAAAATGGTCGGCCATTACCAAAAATATTGGGGTCGTTGACCCATTTTTCAAGGGTCAGAAGGAGACTCCAGGCACTTGTATCGTCTGAACATGCCATTTGCGGCGCGTTGTATGGGCCTTTCCTGGGCGCGACATGATGTCAACGTCTCAGGACCTGGACTACTTCCACGAGCTCATCTTCGTGCTTTGGAACAGACCCGGGTCTTTGGTTGGGTTCTGAAACTCGAAAAACCGAAGGACACCGCCCAGCTGGTTTTGTTAAACTCGAAAAACATCAGAAGGACACCGCCCCAGAATGTGCCGACAGCTTTTGACCGGCTGGCTTCTCCAAATCAAATCCAGAATGTGCCGCTGCTTGAATGCATGTTCGTTCCGTAAGCTTTTTGTGGTTGGAGTTGGGGAATTGGGGAATTGGAAGTTCGCTGCCATTTTGGACGAGTCTCTCCTCACTGGGCTGCTGAAAAAGTGGAATCCCCCCAAAAATGGCCCCTTGGGCC